TTCAAGATATTATGTATACCTTAAAAAGAATTAATTCTATCCCGGGAAACAGTTCACTTTTATCCCGGGATCCTGGAACAAGCAAAAGACCGGGAAATGAGAAACCCTAATATCTTCGTTAGATGGATTATGAGGTATATCATTATCTTTTCTACTCCCCTCCCCAACACCTTGTTTCCCAAATATATGTAGGTCAGGACATTCTTCATCGTCCTCCAATTCAGCATCTCTCACCTTCCTCACACGAGGTTTTCTCCTACCTTCGGGCCTTATCCACCCGTAACATAATTTGAGTCGATCCACATGCACGGTGTCAACATCTCTCTTGCTACACCCTTCGACTCGATAGGTAGTGGGGTTCACAATCTTAGTAATTTGAAAAGGACCTAAGTAGTTAGGAGCAAACTTATCTCTCTTCGTTCCCTTTCTCCTTACCCAAACCTTTTGCCCTTTGCTGAATTTTAACAGTTTCCTTCCCTTATTATAATAGTCACAATTTTTTTTTGTGACGGTACTCCGCTTGCATACCAGCCAATTCACGTAGATTGCGTAACTTCGTGATAATGTAAGATTTACGTTCATCTGAGGTCATAGCAGTTGGTGCGACACCAAGGTCGGGTGTGCGTGGGTCCATACCAAATAATAGGAAGGCGGGCGAGTCATTAACAGAGGAATGGTGTGCATTGTTGTAGGCGAAACACACAGATGGGATGAGGTCATCCCATTCGACATCTTTCTCATTTGATGCCTTGGCAATGATGTCAATGAGGGACTTATTGGCTTGCTCACACATGCCGTTAGCACATGGACGGTAAGCAGTTGTTATATTGCGTCTGATTCCTAACCACTTACAACAGTCGCTGAATAAGGATGATAGAAAGTTTGTCCCACGGTCTGATATTATCACCTCAGGGACACCATACCTGCATATTACTTCACAAGGTCTGTATAAGAAGGTCAGGACACGCTCCTGTGATTCTATGCGGCAGCGGCCATTTTGGGACTCATCGATAGAACTTACCATACGTGGTTCTTGCATGAGTCGACTATTATTACTTATATACGTACTTAAAACGTTAAGCAATGGGTTATTTTGTTGCACCTAATTGTAAAAGTAAGTCTACCGACGTTCGATTGTTCAGATTTCCTGCAGATAAGNCCCACAATTAATTTTACCTGGGAAAAAGAAAAAGAAAATGAAATTGCATTCTTGGATCTAAAAATTATTAAATCCCGGAATAGCATTACGTACTCTGTGTTCCACAAATTTAGTGGTGTACCTCCACTAATCCCGGCTACAGCATACCAACCACAACATTATATCAAGCGGCAATTTCGCTTTTAATAAGAAGGGCCTTCTTTTTATCTTCCAGCCAAGCGGCTGTCGATACCGAACTTCATATTATTTGCCGTGCGGTAAATGAGGCGGTCTACAGTAATGCAACGTTTATATACATTTTAAACAAGGTAAAAAGATCGCTCTTTCTTGCTACTACACTACATCTTCCGAAAGAATTCACAATAGTCTTGCCCGCGATACCATTTTGTGGTCATGTCACTGGCCGCATTTTCCATATATTTAGGCGACATACCTTTTTTTCTGCCGGTTTCTCCACGGCCAAATCTAAGGAGGTTGTTGTCCAGTGACAGAGATCCTGTGTTTATTTTTGAAAGATTGGGAGTTTACTCTGTCCCATTAGAAAGTTGGATAGATATTGCCATCTGCAACGAAAGCATGTCCCCCAAAATTACTAACTGGATTGTTCAAGAAGAGGACAGCCTTACTAATCACGCTCTAATATCCTTTGAAATTATAATTGACAACTCTGGCATCAATCAAACATTTAATGCGCGCACAAAAGATAAACTTAACCAAGCAAACTGGATTGCAATGAAGGATTACCTTGAAATAAATTGGATTACCAACTACTCTATAGATCAAGACATTGCTACTAGTCAAATTGATAAAAATATAGATTTACTACAACAAGCTTGTAATAATTTTATTCCAAAATGCACAACAGTTAGAAAATCGGTACCATGGTGGTCACAAGAATTAGAAGAGTTGCGTAAGAAAACAAAGAAAATTAGAAAACTGTACCAGCGTTGCAGAAATGATCAATTACGTACTGTACGAAGAAATGAGTATCTTCGCAGTCAAAAAATATACAAGGAACTAATTAAAAAAGAGAAAACACACAGTTGGCAGAATTTTTGCACCATCACCTCAAAGAACCCATGGGGATATATTACAAAATTATGCAGCAATAAGTTACGGAAAACTACAATAATGACTACCTCATTGGAAAATCGAACTGAACCACGGACACTTATAGAAGAACTGTCTTCACAGCTAGACACATATTGCCCTGAAGATGACCCTAGTACAGACAATGAATTGCAAAAAGCTATTCGAATAACAATAAATGATAAATATGAAGCAGAAGACATGCCTCCCATTGCCGACATGGAGATCAGGCTAGCATTCAGTAATCTAAAAGTAGGGACGGCCCCAGGAATGGACGAGATAACACCGGAATTAGCCAAGAAGCTATGGTTTCTTATCCCACGGCTCCTTACTAATTTATATAATGTCTGTTTAAGAAATGCCATCTTTCCAAAAGCATGGAAAACAGCTAAAATAATACCAGTTCCAAAACCCGGTGCACCTAACAGTGCAAGACCAATCTCATTAATATCAGTTATGGGGAAAATACTGGAAAAAATCATAACCAATAGGCTTTCCTGGTACGTGGAACATAATAATAGTCTGAACAATAAACAATACGGTTTCCGACCTCAAATGTCTGCAGAAGACGCTATAGAATCTACAGTTAGTAAAGTTAAACAGCTACTGAATGAATATAAATACGTAATAGGGGTCAGCCTTGACATTTCTAAGGCATTCGATAGTGCCTGGTGGCCCCTATTACTGTTTCAATTACGCAAGATAAAATGTCCCAATAATATATATAAACTATTACAAGACTACCTAAGGAACCGAACAGCCATTCTCCAATATGGACAACATCAGGTCTTTAAGAANGGACTGGATTGCAATGAAGGATTACCTTGAAATAAATTGGATTACCAACTACTCTATAGATCAAGACATTGCTACTAGTCAAATTGATAAAAATATAGATTTACTACAACAAGCTTGTAATAATTTTATTCCAAAATGCACAACAGTTAGGAAATCGGTACCATGGTGGTCACAAGAATTAGAAGAGTTGCGTAAGAAAACAAGGAAAATTAGAAAACTGTACCAGCGTTGCAGAAATGATCAATTACGTACTGTACGAAGAAATGAGTATCTTCGCAGTCAAAAAATATACAAGGAACTAATTAAAAAAGAGAAAACACACAGTTGGCAGAATTTTTGCACCATCACCTCAAAGAACCCATGGGGATATATTACAAAATTATGCAGCAATAAGTTACGGAAAACTACAATAATGACTACCTCATTGGAAAATCGAACTGAACCACGGACACTTATAGAAGAACTGTCTTCACAGCTAGACACATATTGCCCTGAAGATGACCCTAGTACAGACAATGAATTGCAAAAAGCTATTCGAATAACAATAAATGATAAATATGAAGCAGAAGACATGCCTCCCATTGCCGACATGGAGATCAGGCTAGCATTCAGTAATCTAAAAGTAGGGACGGCCCCAGGAATGGACGAGATAACACCAGAATTAGCCAAGAAGCTATGGTTTCTTATTTCACGGCTTCTTACTAATTTATATAATGTCTGTTTAAGAAATGCCATCTTTCCAAAAGCATGGAAAACAGCTAAAATAATACCAGTTCCAAAATTCGTTGCACCTAACAGTGAAAGACCAATCTCTTTAATATCAGTTATGGGGAAAATACTGGAAAAAATCATAACCAATAGGCTTTCCTGGTACGTGGAACATAATAATAGTCTGAACAATAAACAATACTGTTTCCGACCTCAAATGTCTGCAGAAGACGCTATAGAATCTACAGTTAGTAAAGTTAAACAGCTACTGAATGAATATAAATATGTAATAGGGGTCATCATTGACATTTCTAAGGCATTCGATAGTGCCTGGTGGCCTCTATTACTGTTTCAATTACGCAAGATAAAATGTCCCAATAATATATATAAACTACTACAAGACTACCTAAGGAACCGAACAGCCATTCTCCAATATGGACAACATCAGGTCTTTAAGAACATAACTAAAGGTTGTCCACAAGGATCGGTATGTTGCTTAATATTATGGAACATCATGTTCGATGCATTTTTACAAGAAAACTTTGATTATATGGGTTGTATTGCGTATGCAGATGACGTAATACTACTTACAGGTGGTCAATCCAGAGCAGATTTGGAAAATAAAAGTAATAATATGCTAAGCAAAGTTTTTGAATGGGGACAGAATTATAAGTTAGAATTTAATCCGAAAAAGACCCAGGCAATTGTATTTAATAGACCAGGTGGAGCGAATCTTTATCTACGACCACCCAGCATCAAAATGAATGGTAATACTGTAAAAGTCAACAAAACTCTAAAATATCTCGGAGTAATTTTAGACTATCGTCTAAATTGGGATAAACATATTGAACATATAACTAATCGAACGGGCCTTATCCTCAACTCATTTTCTCAAGTAGCCAAACGAGATTGGGGACTTTCGACTGGAGCCATGTCTACCATATACGACAGTTTATATCTCCCAATAATATCATATGCATGCGGAACTTGGGGTTGGGCCACGGAAAAAGTACATTCTAAAAGAAGGTTAATATCATCGCAAAGAAGGGCTTTATTAATAATAACCAAAGCATTCCGCACCGTAAGTAACGTCTGCCTCCAAGTAATTGCCAAGAAACCTCCCCTAGACTAACATATTAGACAAAAACGGAAACTACAACAAATTAAATGGGGAACAAATATTCAAGTTGACTCCATAAATATTTAACATGATGACATTGAATGGCCTTTTTGTTTTCGAGAAACAAACAACTATCATTCCTCTGTAATGTAATAACATACAAACTCACAATACGGATATGGATATCTTCACAGACGGCTCAAAGCATGATGGAATGGTAGGATCTTCGTATGTTGTATATATCAATAACATTGAAGCGTATAATAAAGTTTTTAGACTACATGAAAATTGTACTATATTCCAAGCGGAACTATATGCAATCAAGATGGCTATTACATGGATAAAAGAAACCCAAAATAATGCTTACATACATTTGTACACTGACTCCTATTCAGCTTATAATATAATTTTTAGCTCCAAACTACATCCCTTAGTTGAAGAGATTAGAAACTTACTACGAATCTCTACGTGTACTATTAAAATCCTTTGGGTTAAAGCACATCAAGGAGTCACCGGTAATGAAAGGGCGGATATCTTAGCGAAGCAAGCTGCGGAAAACACGAATCTATCAATTGAATATAACAAACTTAGTATGAAGACACTAAAGCGCTTGATATGGGAGGAAACTTTTATGAAGTGGCAAAACGATTGGAATGAAAATAACTCCCATATAACGTACAAATTTATTCCGAACTTAAAACAATTTTATAATTTAAAGTGGTTCTCCCCAAACTACAATACGACACAAGTGCTCACTAATCATGGCAAATTTGCTTCTTATTTGACACGATTTACTAATAGAGGGAATGACTTATGCCCCACATGTTCCATAACTGATGGATCGGAACATTACCTCTATCACTGTGTTATGTTTACTAGAGAAAGATTAGAATTGAGACTTCTTATGGAGGAACGAGGCATAATATGGCCAGGTAACCTATCCGATATTTGGACTGATGAAAACATTTATAAAGCATTTACCAAACTTGCAAATAGCATCAATACTATCAATAGTCAAATTATTAATAACTAACCCTGTTCGTCTTTGCTTTGTTGGTTCTTTTTGACTAATATATATGCTTATTGTGTCTTGGGTCATATAGATATATCACAAACAATGTCTTACACACTATTTGGGAAACCTATTAAAANTGCTTTTAAAAAATAATTATAAATTTGTTATATTATTATATTCTTTATTATACTTTAAATTTTTTTTGATGTTATTGCATCACTTTACGAAGTGTCTATATACGTAATTGCATCAGTTTTAGCACCTATTTAATTAGTTTCAATCGCGACAGAAAATGATATAGATGATTGTTTCTTTTAAACTATTTGATCGAAAAGTTACATAAAATTGGGGTTGCGTAATCATCCAAAATTATTATTATATTTTCGACTGAAAATCACTGGATTTATGCAATTTTCGTTTAATTAATGTCGTATAAAACAGACTGCTCGTACAAGTTTGCTTAAAACATGCGACGCAAAATACCCCAAAATGGTGGTTCAATAAGTAGGTCACACGTGTCCTGACCTTCTTATACAGACCTTGTTACTTCATCAAAGATAACGTTGCTAACACTCCAAGCGGTCTGGTCATTAAGTGGAAAGGCTTCGAGAAAACGTGTGCACACGTCGATTACAACTAAGATGAAACTATGTTCTCGTCTTGTCACCTTTACGGGACCAATTATATCAATCGCTATTTTCTGGAAGGGAACATCTGCCTTTTCATTTTCTTGTATTGGAGCCTTGCCTCTATGCAAGTTGTATCTTTGACATTTATGGCATTGTTTCACCACCTCCTCGGTCACTTTCTGTAAATCTCTTACAAAATAATTCTTCTCCACATTCCTCATTGTTTTCAACACACCCCAGTGGCCATACAATTGCTGTTCGTGAATGGCTGTAACCAGTTCCATAGCAAGTTCGTTTCCTACACACATCTTATCTGCGTGCTGGTTCCGCCCCCTCTGAAATAATCTTTTATACAAACAATCGTTAAAAACCCGATACTCGTTAAAACTTTCATTTGAGTCGTTGCTCCTCATCATATCTCTCTTTATTGGACCAAAAATGCTATCACTATCTTGCGACTTGCTTATCTCATCTCTGCTGGGAATCCCCTTATCTATCGTCCTGACATCCATATGGTTAATACCGTTTATATTACGGGAAAGGAAGTCAGCTACCTTATTGTCCACACCTTTCACGTGATTTACCTCTATATCATGATCCATTAGTTCCATCACCCATCTTATTAAGCGTCGGTTCCCATTTTGTATGTTGCTCAGAAAGACGAGAGGTTTGTGATCAGATAATATGATGGTCTTCTGTCCCAGTATCAGGTGTCTAAAATGTCTTAAGGCCATGACTATAGCTAAACATTCCTTTTCTATGGTGGAGTAGTGGAGCTCTGCACCTTGGAACCTCCTACTATAATAACCAAGAGGAACAAGGTTATCGCCATTCCTTTGCTCCAAGACAGCAGCTGCAGCATGGTCTGATGCATCGGTATGTAAGTAAAAGTCTTTATTAAAATCAGGATGTGCAAGAATTGGTGGGCGGGAGATAACCTTCTTCAAATGCTCGAAACTATTCTGGCATTTCTCACTCCAGCTAAACCTTTTATTTCTTTTTGTCAACTCAGTCAAAGGTGCAGCAAGCTCAGAAAAGGATGGAATGAAGCTCCGGAAAAACCCCACTACTCCCAAAAAGCTCCGCACCTCCTTGACACTATTAGGGGTCTTGATGTTTTTCATGGATTCAATATTCACGGGGTCGGGCATTATCCCTCCCTTGCTAATCACATGCCCCAAATATTTCACTTGTCGTGCTAAGATCTGGCACTTATCAGGATTCAGTTTAAGGCCTTCCTCTTTTAGGGTATTAATGACTTTATCAAGTAGGTCCAAATGATCGTCTAAAGTTTTTGAAAATAAAACGACATCGTCCTGAAAAACGAAGCAACAGTTTCCAATAAATCTAGCCAGGACCTTCGTCATCACAAACTGGAAATACCTCCCGCTATTCTTTCCTCCTTGCGGCATCCTACACAACTGGTACTTTCCCCACGGTGTGGAGAAAGCGAACACATGTCTTATCTCATGGGCAAGGGGGATTTGAAAGTACCCAGCTTTTAGGTCCAGAACGGAGAAGAAGATATTTCCTTCCAGCTGAGAGAGAATGTCATCAATCCTGGTCATTGGAAATATTTGCGGTTCTGTGATATCGTTTATCTTGCGAAGATCTAATGTTAGCCTAATTTCCCCGGTCTCTTTCGGAACAACGTGCAACGGAGAGTTCCACACTGAAGAGCTTTCCTCGCAAATACCCGCCTCTACCAGTTCTCTGATCTTCTCCTTCAACGGCGGTAGATAGCTATAAGGAATGCGATACTGCTTAGTATTGATTGGGTGATCGGAAGTTAATTTAACATGGTGCACATAATTCTTGGATCCAGATATCTCAGTGACCTTTCTGGCAATGGCGTCATGATGAGCGCCCAATATATTTAATACCCTCTCCTTGACCTCGCCATCTAAGTGGTCCAATTTCCATACAGACAGGTCATTGTCAACGATCTTATTAATATTTGTGGATAAATTAAGGGTACCCTTCACCTTACTACCCCTTATCGCAGGGAGCAAACCCGCCAGGAGTTCGGGGCTGTGACTAATGATATCCATATCAATAATTAAGTCATAAGGCGCACTACTCGGAAATTTTATGATCGGAATGTTGATCTCAATCTCATTGCTCTCGGATAAGATGCATCTAGTTGCTACAGCCTCATCGCTTTGAATGATAGCACCGGACATCCCACTTATATATGAATCATTGCGTACCATGCATTTCCTATTCCTCATATTAATCCGTTCCATAATCTCGTTTCTTACCACGGTCCTCTCTGCACCTGTATCAATTAGGCCTTGCACTTCACAATCAAAAAAATTCCCTTTAATAATCGGTAGACCATGCTCGGTTAAGTATATACCCTTGGTAAGAGTAAGTTGTGTGAACCGGTCATCAGCCTGACCCTTCAGATGACCGTTCTTTAGTTTAAATCCTTTCACTGCTCGCAGCTCCTGGCCATGTGCCCAATTTTACCACATGTGTAGCACCTCCGTCTCTCACCCCTAACATTGACCGGGGTTCTAATCCCTCTGACGAAATCACCCAATTCTTTCATGGATTCCGTTAATTGTTTCATCTGCATCTCTAGCTCATGGACTTTCGGGTTTTCGTTCTTTAGTTCACTCCCTTGTTCAAAATTCGTGCGTATCTCGCTTAAGGCTACCCTTTTTTCGCAAGCGTTCTCTATCTCTTCTTCACCCTCAGCCTTCGAGATAGCTTCGTCCAAGGTAGCCGGCCGTCCTTGCATAACCCGTTTTTGAATCTCCGGGACTAATCCTTTCATAAAACACTCTTTCACGCAATTATTCCGCAACGTTGCCAGACTAGGATTTCGTGTCATGGCTCTGGAAAACAATGTCTTAATGCGGCTTCCATATTCATATACACTTTCACCTCTTTTCTGGCTAACCTTAAGGACTAAACTAAATTGACTTTGCCCCTTTTCCTTATGGCCAAAACACTTTATGAGGGCCTCCTTTATTTCACTATAGCTAACTACGCCTTGCTCTCTCAGATAAAAAAAATAGATAGAGGCTCACCTTTCAGTCTTGCTTGCATTACGGATATTTTTACTTTCTCGTCCCATTTCGCAAGTGAGGTTACATTCTCGACCGTTAGAAGAAATCGGTGTATGTCCAAGGTATCACCTGGTAGGTGGGAGAAACAAGGGATCATCCCCATGAATCCCGTCACTATTGGCACACCTTCAGGTTCCTCCATTACACGTGCTTGTGTTCCGCTCGTTACTTGTTCTTCCATCCCAACAATGTTCGTACAGACGCTAATAACTAAATTCTTACAATCTATGACTAAAATTAACCAATTACAGTAATGATTCTTAACTTATGGCCTACATGCTATAATCCTTATCCAATAAATATATATACATTATGTTTACAAGTTATGCAAACTAGCATAATATAATCCTCTTACAAACCTCTCCCTTTTTACCCGTAACAGACAAAATCCTGTCGCGGACGCCAATGTAGTGTCCTAGGAGCACCGAGGTTACTCTGGACAAAGAGTAGGGTAAAAGGCTACGGTTACACGAGGATTTTTACACGAGACAAACGACATGTATCAATAGTAGGAAAATATTTAATGAATGTCAAATTCGATAAACTAGGGTTCATCAATACAAAATTACAAAAAAAAGGATCAAAATGCTCGCGTCAATAATTAACTAGTCTTCGCGGACACAGAAATAGAAACAAATATATATATAATTGTTTTTTATACAAACACTTCACAGAAATAATTCCTACGTTGAACTAATCTGCACATCTCTTCAATAAACTCCTGTTGTATTTCGGGGTTGTCTAAAAATCGGCATCGTCCATGTGGCTTTGTCGATGCAGATGGATTCCGCACGTGGTGAATCCCCGTCTTCCTTTGTTTCAGTCCACTAGTACTACTCGTCCACTCCGGCGCACCTCAGCCCGTCCGTCTCAGTCCTTGTCTCACCAGCTAAAGAACTCTCGTACACGTGGGATGGCAAAATTTATAAGTCCTGCCATTGCACACGTCACCACACGTGAACACAGCACAGCCAATCGACACAACGGGGCTGTGCCACCCAAGTAAAAGGTGGTTTTCTTACACAAAAAAACGAAAGTTACAAATTATACAAAAAAAACAAGTACGGAAAAATGAACCTTGCACAAGGGTATATAAATACAAGCGCCTATCCNCCCAAGTAAAAGGTGGTTTTCTTAAAAAAAAAAACGAAAGGTACAAATTACAAAAAAAAAAAAAAACAGGTACGGAAAAATGAACCTTGCACAAAGGTATATAAATACAAGCGCCTATCCCAAGAACAATAGTGACGCAGCACTACAGGGTTGTATTCTAGCTGTTTGTTAGTTATTCCGCTATAGATATAATTATTCGCCTGGATATCTCATTTGTCCCATTCGTCATCATCGGTCTTAATTTTAGCCCTCATTACTACATTTTTACACTTTTTGAACTGTAGAAACTTAAACATACGTAATTTCCAGTTACTATAATCTGCTCCTTCAAATATTGATATATATATATCACTGTTTCTCACCGCCATTACCACGTGTGCTTTTTTTTTATTTTCTTAAATTATTTAATTTTTTTCACTTCTTGTTTTTTTTTTCAACCACACTCTCCTACCAAAGGCAAAAAATAAAGCATATATTTTCTTTTTCTTTATTCTTTTAATACTTAACTTTAATAACTAACACAACTTATTTACAACTATGCAACCAGACGAAACTCAGACGACTGACAATTTTTCAAGTGTTGCCAGATAGAAATGTACAATAATACATTATAACAATATTGAACAAACGAATATGAATGGACCCTAGACCATCGCTGACGCGCAATTAATTGATTGCCCCTGGAAGTCTGCTTTTTACAGAAACACGAATTCTCTATCAAATGTCACGGCACTCCACTGGGCCCTAAGTTATAGAATCGTAACGCTACACCCTACGCTTAAGCGAAATCAGGGGCCATTGCAAAATCTTACCAGATAAAATACTGCCAAGACAGAATCCTTTCATCCTATCATTCAGGAGAGTTTAGGCATAGGTTAAATTATACCTATGACTGCAAGTATCACGCTGTCTATAACTTCTATAACTGACACTTCTCTAGAATCTCGCACTATTTAAAACTTTCATAGCATGGATTATTCGACAAAATAACGTAATGTACAGATTTGAATCGTAATTAAGGTTAGTTTGAATTTTAAAAACAGCAAACACGTCATGAATTTTTTGTGATTTTGAAATAAACGCACGAGAAATCAAACAAAAGCATTTATTAGACAACCAAAATGTTTACAGACAAAGATTATAATCACATTCACATGAAAACACGATAAAATTAGACTGGATCTAAGTTCTTAAATTCTTAAAGCCAATACAGTCGAGGAAATATCTCCTTGAATGGTTTCTGAATGGATTAAAATTGCAAATTATTCCAGAAATATTCCTTTTGTCCATCTTTTCTTTTCTGTATTAACATTTCTTGTATTCCTTAGACATTTAATGGATTTAGATAGTGTTCCAGATTTGAAAATGCTGAAGATTTAGTTCTAGATCTTCTCAATTTTACGTAATTCAAAGTATATTTACGTCCACATTTGACACAGATCGAAAGAAAATGTTGATCAGGAGTGATGTGATGAAAATGGGCACAAACAGGAAGCGTAAAATTTTAGAATGGACACAATTCGGTAGTCAAGTTTGAGAATAGTTACAATTTTGGAGAGTCAAAATGGGAGCAAGGTCAAATTTCGCAACTTAAAAAGGAATCTGGCAAGGATACTCATTGAGTCTATTACTGTTTTCTTATACAGGGTGGACCAAAAAGAATATACGTATTTCAAACTGATATATTTAATAAACTGTAAGACATACAACTATGGAACTTGGGACACATATTTATGAAACTCTCTAGTTTAGATTACAGGTGTTCAATATGTCCTCCACCAGCGACACGAACAATATCACACCGATACTCAAATTCCTGCCATACTCGACTAAGCATGTCCGGTGTCACTGATGTAATGGCAGTACGGATCCGGTTCTTCAACTCATCGAGGTTCTGTGGTAGTGGAGGAACATAGACGGTGTCCTTGATGAAACCCCACAGGAAGAAATCACACGGCGTCAAATCCGGTGACCGTGGAGGCCAGCTGAAAAGTGGTAAATCGTCAGCACTTTGACGTCCAATCCAACGGTTCGGAAGAGTTTCATTCAGAAATTGACGAACTTGACGACTCCAGTGAGGGGGTGCCTTCTTGAAAAATGAGGTGGTCCTTGTTTAGCCTCGGAAACAAACAGTTTTGCAACATATGAAGATATTGCAAACGATTAACCGTGTTTCCATCAAAGAAAAAAAAGGGCCGTAAACAGATGAGCAGGATATAGCACAAAACACATTCACTTTAGGTGAATTTCAAAAATGATCGTTTTGCGCATGTGGGTTCTGTAGGCTCCAAATTCTAAGATTCTGTTTGTTCACCTTCCCACTAAGGTGAAAACATGCATCATCACTGAACAAGATCCATTCTGAGAAATTGTTATCGTTGTCAATAACATCCTGAATCTGGCCACTAAATTTCACACGTTTATGTTTGTCATCATTATTCAGAGCCTGTAACAGCTGTAATCTGTACGGCTTTATAACTAACCTGCGTCTCAAAACACGCCAAACTGTTGTTTTAGGCAGCTGCAATTCCCGACTGGCACGACGTGTTGATTTTGAAGGGCTACGTTGGTAAGCAGCTTGAATCCGTGCAACATTTTTTTCAGATACACGAGGTCGGTCAGGACTCTTTCCTTTACATACACAACCTGTGTCAACAAACTGATGGTACCATTTGCGAATGTTCCATTGATTCGGAGGATCAATTTCGTACCTCAACCGGAAATGTCTTTGCACTGTAATCACGGAATTACACTTCGCAAGCTCAAGAATACAAAAGCTTTTGTGCTGTGGCGTAGCCATTTTACAACAACTGTGAATACGTGATTGTAACCAAGCACAAGTGACATCAGGGGGACAAACTAGACAATGCACTCGTTCCTGCGATACCCGCAGCACACCGCTACTATCGATAGTTTAATAAATATATCAGTTTGAAATACGTATATTCTTTTTGGTCCACCCTGTATATTGTCTGTTTGGTAACATAACTGAATGAAATTCAAAATTTTAATGGTTTATGTTTAGAAAACAACACTTATACAGTAATACCTCGGTTATCGTTGGTTACGATTTTCGTAGACTTTTCCTGCGAAAAATTTGTCTCGGTCTTCATCGACATGACCGCACTGCTAATTTTGCGAAACAAACAAACGCTAACCCACGCGTTTTACTTGTGTGAGTATTATTACCTCCTTCCTCCAGCCAAACAATTGCATTTCTTTTCTTTTTGCTCCATATAGGTATTTTGTTAGGCAAATTATATATTCAGAATCCACGAATATTTTCATTATTAATGGTGAAGACTGTACTTAAGTAGCAATGGGATTGTCGTATTCTGGAATACTTTATAGAAAAATAATATATAAAGTCCATATAATTCAGAATTTCTTTAATTTGTCTCGGTCTTCATCGACATGACCGCACTGCTAATTTTGCGAAACAAACAAACGCTAACCCACGCGTTTTAGTGGTGTGAGTATTATTACCTCCTTCCTCCAGCCAAACAATTGCATTTCTTTTCTTTTTGCTCCATATAGGCATTTTGTTAGGCAAATAATATATTCAGAATCCACGAATATTTTCATTATAAATGGTGAAGACTGTACTTAAGTAGCAATGGGATTGTCGTATTTCGGAATATTTTATAGAAAAATAATATATAAACTCCATATAATTCCGAATTTCTTTTATTTGGTAATTTTAGTAAAAAAAGAAGTCTTAATATTTTAAAAATAGTTGTATTTATATTAATTTATATTTGATTTAAAATATTTCAATTTTGAATATCGCGTGTAATTTAAATTGAGAGAATTCCAGAATAACGATCGTAAACTANCCGGCACACGTATTTGTAAAATCTAAGTGACTCGTACAACATGGATTCCATATAAAACGGAAAAATCAACAGTTTTATAGGGGGTCGACTGTATATTCTTCATTTATAAGTGTTCAAATAAGTTTACAATGAACGATGCGACTATCTACAAAATATTGAAAACATATATATGAAATGCTGAACACTTAATGAACTGCTCAACTCGATTATATTATTTTATATTTGATTTAAAATATTTCAATTTTGAATATCGCGTGTAATTTAAATTGAGAGAATTCCAGAATATACGTAATGCAAATGAATAGAAATTTTATATTTTACAGATATATATGATTGAATACAAGTATATATTTGATTTCTACACTTTTTCTATTATCTAGAAGTATAAAATATACTAGTTGGTTTAAAAAACACCAGATTTATATTTATATTTTCTGTAATTTGTCAACTTATCAGATTTTAACTTAGATTTGTTAAATTTCACAAGGTTTTATTATTTTTCAACTGCAGGGTAGCGAAGCTTTGTCTAACTTTTTTACAGAAAGTAATAGACTTTGCCCACTGTAAAGGAGAACAAATTGCTTTTTCTGTCAGTACTGGATCAGATGACTAAGAGATTATTTCCTTGCGAGGAAACCACGTTATCAAAAATAGCTGCAATGACTTATTTACTATAGATTGAAACCAAAAGAAAAAAATGGAAAGTGTCGCGTTTGGAAAATACTACATTCTTATTTTATTGAACCAGGGATGCACAACCTTTTGTGAAGAAGGGCCAAATTAGGGTTAAGTTTACTGACTGGGGGCCGGACCTCCAAGCGATTAATGCGATGGCTGAGATTGGATGCTGGCAGCAATCTTCTTGATGTCTGGTGTAATGGCAGATGTTGAAACAACCAGATTTTCCAAATTCTCTTTGGTTAACCTGTTCCGTGTTTTGCACTTGTTTAAATTCATAAGCGAAAACACTTGTTCGCATACATAGGTACTGCCAAACATGCTTGCACAAAATCGAGCTTTGTCTTTCAGTTTTGGAAATGATTTATCTGGCAGTTCTTTGTAGAATGTGAGGAGATTAGAATTTTTGAACTGTGATTTCAATTCATCACTGCACTGGATGTCTATCAACTCAAGTTGACATCTGGAGGGACATCTTCCACTTTCACATCAAATGAAGTTGAAAAAAGTTGCAGGTAGATCTTGTATTTCTGGAATTCACCAAACCTCTCATTGAATGATGTAAGGAGGGTGTTAACTTGGTCAGAGTAATCCGTCTTCATATGTGGGTATTTCTCTTTCATGGCCTTGCAATGTGGAAAGTGTGTAAAGTTCTCTGTTTGCATGTGGGACTTGAAAAGTGATAGTTTGGTCATAAATGCATTGATGTTACTTGTCAACTGAGAAACAAGTTGCATCTTTCCCTGCAATCTCAAATTAAGGTCGTTTAGATAAGCAGTAATGTCAGCAAGGAAAGCTAAATCACACTGCCATCTTTGTCCCTCCAAATTCCTTGTAGTGTTCCCCCGTTCTTTGAGGAAAGTGATAATAGGCCCCAATAGCTCCACAAATCTCTTGAGGACTGTTGCCTTGCTCAGCCAACGAACTTCAGTATACGTGGGCAGGTCAGCATAATCAGCATCTATTTCTTCAAGAAATGATGTGAAGAGTCGATGGTTGAGTCCATGACGGCGGATTAAGTTCACAGTATCATATACATCTTTCAGCAGACGTTCAAATCCCAGCTTCTTTGCACAAAGTTGCTGTTGGTGAATTATGCAATGATACTGGACTAACTCCTTTTGCCTGTCCCCAAGGTGGTTTTTCAGCAAGGTGACCATGCCATTCTCACATCCAACCATAGATGGTGCTCCATCGGTGGCAATGCTGGATAGCTTGTCAAAGTCCAGTGCTGATTTGTTGCAAACGCTCAATAAACTAGTAAATAAGTCAGCACCAGTTGTATGTCCAGAAAGTGATGCCATGCCAAGAAATTCTTCATTCACAATAAAATCTAGTGAAACACTTCTAATAAACACAATCACTTGTGCTGTTGATGATATGTCAGTGGATTCTTCCACAGCCAAAGAAAAATAAGCACAGTTTGCAACTAAAATATTAAGTTGGCCAGAAATGTCTGATGCAATTTGCGAGATTCTTTGTTGTATCGTCATGTGGTTAAGACTGATTGTTTGAAAACACTGTCTTCTCAGGACACATCTCACTTGCGATGATAAGACACTTTTTTATCATATCGCCATCTGTGAAAGGTTTCCCATTCTTGGCTATTAAAGCAGATATTTCTAGGCTGGCTTCAACAGCCGCATCCAATTCTCCAGATTGTTTCTTGAACACATTTTGTTGGCTGATTAGTGATCGTCGTAACGATTCGATTTTCCGTTTGCGTTCCGTACCTTGCAGAAGGAAATCCTTGTGTTGGCTTTCATGATGTCGCTTCAGGTTGAATTCTTTTGGCACTGCTATTGTTCCATTGCACAAAAGGCAAATAATGCTGTTGTTCTGTTGCACAAAACAGTACTTGTTAGTCCACACTTCCACTTCTTGAAACTGATGATTCTCGCGATTGACCTTGCGTTTAATGCCCGGCGCCATACTGTTCACTCTGCAAAACAATGTCTCATTGTGCCGAAAATTCTGAGGCCCGCAACAAATCATGTTTGAGATAAGGCAAGCTAGACTACCACGTGCTTTGTTCTGTATCCACTCTGACCAAAGACTAAAGAGGCGGGGACAGAAGACTATTACGCACACGTGGCCAGGCAGGTCTTAATTCGTTCGACCCCTGTCCGGGCGTCTCCACCATTTCTCAGAATTTGTGAGTCAGATCGTCAACATGCCAGGTGCAGGACACTAATCCATCATAAATGTGGTTACCATTCTTACCTAAATTATATTTATGGCCCGTCAGTTTTACCCCCGTGTTCAGAAATGAATCAAAAGTGATTAACACAGTGCAGTGGAAAATCTGAATATTTTAAATATAATTATTAAAATTGCGATATCTCGTTTCAAATTGGCGCTAGAATCAATCTGTTTTTTGTTTTCTGTCACAAATATATCACAGTTTACGACTGTTAAATTTCAAATAAAATAAAAATTAAAAATAATAATTTAATTTTAAATTTACGAAAAAAAGAATGTAAAAATAAAAGTAAATAAAAAGTTCCAATTAATTTACTACTTAAATAACCTAAATATATCTGTTTTCTTTCAAACAAAAGAAACCGCAGCTTTCTAGCTACACGGAATCATTTTACAACCCTCTTTGTTGACAAGTTTATGGCTTGACGCAGTTTGTAATAATTATTAAATCCAAAATATTTTAGTGCAAACGGCTTCCTTTTAGTCATAATGACTATTCCAACTACAGTATTAATTTTCTTGGTCCAACTTAATAATAATAAATTTGATGCGAAAAATTTTTTTTCAATTCTCAGTCTATGGAGAGATAATTATTGTAAATTATTGGTTGTTATAGCTTTTTGTACATTTCTTTTTGAACTCTGGTTAGTTTTTTCTAGTTTGAATGACATTATGTTGACAATAAGCGTCTTTTCAGAAAAGATTGATTCAAATTCGACAATACCAATCAGAATCTAGAATGTAAACAAATCATAAAAAATCGCTATTTTCATAGTTTTTCAGCGCTATTTTCATTTATTTTTGTTATTTGACGCTATTTAGACGAATAAGCAAGTTTTCCGAAGCATAAAATTGAAAATTTTCCACCAAAATAGAAACTTCCTGATAACATCGGAAATGTCGTTCTAACATCATTTTATTTTATTTGATTTTTCAAAAAAATTGTTATAATACTATGTATTAGACTTAGAATATTCGATATCTAAACCAGAAAGTGTTAGCTAGAAATAGACTTATTTATAGAACAAGCCCCCATTTCTCACTTCAGGGAAACTTATAAAACAGTTGGGTGCTAATGACTTTGTGAAAGGGAAAAGTTCCACACTTAGAAACTTCGAAAGAAGGGATTTGGCCTGTACCGTCCGCGGGCCGCATAAACATTGATAAGGGGCCGT